AGCTCTTCTGCCGTTTCATAACACTCAGCTTGGACGACAAGCATATGGAGGAGTGTCGGCAGATTATGTTGAATCGGGGCAAGATCTTCTTAACCAAGCTGCAAAACTCGCGTCAAGTGATTTCCCAGCAGGCACAGCGCTTCATCAGCGATGGCTGCCGAATCCTCACACACTCCCGATCACGGGTCGTCCTCAAAGCTCTGATAGCAGCATCGCAGAACAAAAAGACGTTTCATGTATTTGTGACGCAAGGCGGCATAGGGAACTCAGGGCAAGTACTCATAGAAGAGCGGACTCACATTTATTTAATATTATCCGGATTTTAGGGAGGAGATGGTGCAGGATTTGCAGGCAGCTGGCATTGATTGCACACTTATACTGGACTCGGCGACGGGCTATGTCATGGAATCGGTTGACTTTGTTATGGTTGGCGCTGAGGCGATCGTTGAGAGCGGCGGCATTATCAATCGGATCGGCTCTTATACAATGGGCCTATGTGCGCGCGAAATGAAGAAACCCTTTTATGTGCTCTCCGAAAGTTTCAAGTTCTCTCGGCTGTATCCATTAAATCAGAGAGACTTGCCAAACGAGTACAAGGTAAGGCAAGATTAAGAGATTGCTCTGAAGAGCTGTTGCTATGATATTTCTCTATTGGCTTTCAGTACTCCCGCAAGCATTTGAATGACATTTCAAAAGTGCATCCACTGGTCGATTATACGCCTCCTGCCTATATCACGCTGCTATTCACGGACCTGGGCATCTTGACGCCATCGGCGGTTAGCGACGAATTGATCAAACTGTATATGTAAAGCTTGGCTAATAAAACGACATGTGACTCTGATCTATATCTAAAATTGTGATTACACCGAAATATATAAATACGTTATAATAATGGCAATATAATACGTATACTAATCTAAGTTACTCAATGTACATGTTACTCTTAAAATTTATATATATGTGTATATATATTCGACTTGTTAGAAGTGCATATCGCTGGCCGAGTAGGCATCAAAATCGTTCTCAAGTCCATACTCAGAGCCCAATTCATCATAGACATCTACGCTATAGCGAGATGATTCGCTGCTATTATCGTCGCCGATCGTATACTCGCTGTTATACTCCTCGAGATCATCCGTATAAACATCGCTTTCCTCTTCCATGGCATTAGCACCGTGTGCCATCTGATCCTCGGGACCCTCCTCGGGCTCATCCAGATCGCTAGCGTTCTGAGCGAAAATGAATACATTTAGTCAGATTAACATTAATGTTATCATTAACATTTCTCTGTTACCACTTGACCAGTTTGTATGTTAATCTCGATCTGCAAACGTATGTCCATGACCAGGAAAACTGTTGTTACCAGCAGAGGTATGGTTATGCGACTCTTCCAAGCCAAATCGGTGAGGAACAGGAACACATTGCCAAACGTAGAGTCCATCATATTGTATTTTAGTTCTGTTCTTGCTGCTGCTCGCCCACCTCTTGATGCTCCTCCTCCACCTCAAGTTCGTCGTATTTAACGATCTCCAACGTTTCGCCTACCGTGACCGCTTGAACGGGCAGCAGATGACGATGCAGTCGACCGCTTTCGATGGGCGTATCAAACTCGAGCAGTTGCTCAAATGTTTTCTCCGGAACACCGCTTGAGGCTAGAAGCGAGCGCATGCAATCCTCCTTCTTCGCCTGCAGTGAGTCCAAGAGTTTGGTTCCCTTTTGAACTTTCTGCAGTTTTCGCTCTACATATCAAAACTAAAAATTGATATAAAATATTTTGACAAATGTATAGATATACCCACCTAACAATTGCAAGTAGTTTGCCGAATCTGGCAAGGGCTCAAGTTGTTGTGGGCCTGTAACATTACTCTCTTTCAAGTCTAGGTCGATATCCGCCGATGCCCGCCTTTCGGTCTCTTCTTTATTGGTGCTGCTTGTGAAATTATCCTCAAATGTTTCAATCACTTTGCTGTTTCCGTTTTCTTGTTGTTTAATGCTGTTGCTTGTCATTTGCCAGGGGTCGGCTTGGCAAACTGACATGTTTCACTAGCTTAAAACATTAATATCAGCTTTTAAGCAAATCGTTGTTATTTTCACGAGGAAAGTGTCAGGAAAACATATACATAAGCTAGAGATGAGCGCGTGCTGGGATTTCGTCTCACGATATTCAATTCTGATTTAAGAAATAATACAACGCAAACACCAACGTCACGTCAGGCGTCGTGACTTATCATATTTGCATAAATACCATTTTTCAGCTGTTATAATTGGAATTAGAGTTTCAAAATTACAACTTAGTTAAATGAATTTACTGTCCATATTTTCTTTTCGTGAAAGAATGTATGACACTCATCCAGTTTTGTAACTTACCAGCTTCATCAATACTGTGCAAAGAAACAGCTGTGCCGACCCTGAACCAAGAAGTCTAGCGGTTTATCAGAAATCTGGAACCAAGAAAACACTTGCTTAAGCGGTATATGTACGTGTCACGAGTAAAAGCCCAGCCTTAGAACTCATTTTGCTAAGTGACGCAAGCTCATTGCTATGGTAATAATATGGTTTTCCAACATTTATCAGCACTGAAAATTAAACAGCTGTGTGATCAAGAACCTTTAAATTAAAAACATTCCCTAACTTGTATTAGAAATATTTGTAAAATGGATATATCGGCGCTGTCAGAGCCAGTTGAATTTTCAGCCACCGACTGGATTAATGCAAATTATAAGAAGTACATTGAGGAGAATAACAAAAAAGAAGGCGCCTCTGCCACATCGTTCATACAAAGCTACGTGGCTAAGCTGCAGCTGTATGTGCAGCAGGTCAACTATGCTGTCGAGGAATCCAGCCAGCAGGTTGTGGCCAGCATGCCACGCATTGCCAAGGAAGCGGCCACGCTCCAGTGCGATGTGGCATTGTTGCAGCAGAAGATGAGTGCGATGCGTCAGGAGGTGGCGGCAGTTCAAGAAGAAACCGGCGATTGCATGGCCACCTTGGAGCGTTTGAATAGTTTGCAGAGCAAGCTGCAGGCGGCCAAAGAATCGTTGCAGGAATCGGATGGTTGGGGCAATCTGCTCTCTGAACTGGAAGATTGCTTTGAACGCAATGACATGAAGGTAACTGAACTTTTCCAGATTCAATGGATATAGCTATTTAAAATCCTTTTTTGCAGGGCGTTTGCGATAAGCTGCGAGCGCTGCAGAAGTCACTGCAGGCTCAGGAGCAACTGCCTGGTCATACCGAACGCCAAACGCAGGTTGAGGACTTCAAGAATCGCCTGGAGGCCATGGCTTCGCCTAGCTTAGTTCAATGCTTTGCCGAATCAAATCTGGAACAGGCGCAGCGCCATGTGCAAATCTTCAGTAGCATTCAGCGCTTGCCACAGCTGCAACAGTACTATCGAGCGGTTCAAAAGAATGTGTTGCAACAGCAATGGAAGCAGACGCTAGAGCTGCAGGCGAGCGAGTCGCCGCAGCAGCATTTCCTCACGCTCTTCTACGACCAGCTCTTGGAGCATTGCCAACGCCAGTTGAAATGGTGCGTGCAGCTGTTTGCAGATGAGTCGATAGACGTGGCTCAGTCCCAGCCATTTCTGGTCATTGCAGAGCTGTTGCCAGCCCTGCAGCCAACACGCGATGCCCATATACTGCAGCTGCTGAAGAGCTCCAACGAGCGGCTGGAGCTGTTGGCTCAGTATGCGCAAGCCAATCAGAATTTCGTGCTGCATCTGAACTCGATGCTGAAGCAATCGTCGATTAGATTGCCTGCCGAGCTGCATGGCCAACTGGCTGAGGCGGTCTTTGAGTACTTTCACAAGTTCATACAGCAATATCCACGGCTCGAAGAGACGCAGCTGTCCACGCAAGTGGATCGCCTGCTATCGAATCAGTCGACGCCCAGTGATGCAGTGCGGCATCTGGAGGACAGCACTCGCAAGCTCTACGAGTGGCTGCAGCAGGCGTGCGCGCGCTGTGAGGCTATAACCAACGACCTGGCCTTGTGCAAACTGATTACGGTCCTCAATGGCATCTTCAAGCGGCAGCTAGAGAACTTCAGCCGCACACAGCGCCAGCTGAGCCTCAGCCTGGGTAGCAGCAACAGCGAGGGCACAGCCCGCAGCGAGAACTGGTCGCTCCTGCAGTACACAATGTCCCAGCTGCAGTGCCTCGCCGATTTCCAGCTGCAGCTGCATCAGTTCGAGCAGCTGCTGCATTTGCGCATGAGCAACTTAGCCAACAAGCTGCAGCAACCAGCCAGTGGACAGGAGATCAGCATCTATCAGACCTGCGAGCGCGTTATGCATCAACAGTTGCTCTCCACCATTGCCGACTACCAGCAGAAGAAGAGCGAGGCAACAGCGGCCACTAGCTCCGATAGCTTGGGCATCTTCCCACAGATCTATGCCACACTGAAGACTTATCTGGCGGAGACGCATGACATCACCTTGAACATCCTCCTGCAGCCCATCGAGGCGCATCTGGCGCATATACGTCCGCCCGTGGAGGCCTACTCCAGTTCATCGGCCATCAATATGCCGGCGTTCAGCTACGCTCCACAAGAGAGCATCACGCAGATTGGCCAATATCTGCTCACGCTGCCACAGCATCTGGAGCCGCTGCTGTTGTCGCCATCAGCACTGCTGAAGCAAGCTCTCGAGCTCTGCAACATCAAATACACCCAGGCGATACCCTGTGCAGATGTCCTGCTCTCCCTGGTCGTGGAGCAATGCTGTGTGATGTACCAGGCGCAGATATTGCAAATCAAATCTCTGCCCGCCTCATCGGCCACGCAGCTCAGCGTGGACATTGAGTACTTGTCCAACGTGCTCGAGGAACTGGGCTTGACCATCAACCTGCAGTTGTCCCAGATCCTGACTTTGCTGAAGGCTGCACCCGACCAATACCTCAACCTCAGCTCTGGCTGCGAGCCGCGCCTGGTGACTGCCATACGACAAATGCGAAACATTATATCCACGCAATAATTCATGATATATAATAGTAATTATATAATGTACAAAGTATTTATATGTATTCAAAAGCAAATATTACATTATTGTTAACACTCTAACATCGTTGTTTGGACTTAACTAAGAGGCTGGGGGATTCGCTTCATCAGGCTGCGCTTCCGATTGATTGTGCGACTGCCACCAGTCGCTGACGTATTGCCGCAGACTGGATAAAGCCAGCACCGAGTGCGAGTCCAGCTTTTCATCCTTGGCCAACTGATCGCAGTACTCGGAGCGGGAACAGGCAAAGGAGCCGCCGAAGGTGCGCAAATAACGGATGCTTGCTATGTGCTCTGGCCAGTGGCGAGATACGCAGTCGAGCAACAGGTCCAGCTGCTGGCCAGGCAGCGCTCGATACTGGCCACTGGAGGCGGCGGCAGTGGTCTTCTGCAGCACATTGAGCAGACGGGCCAGACTGGGTATGGAAACTCGAGGTGAAAGCAGCGGCAAGAGGTGCAACACCAGGTGCAGCAAGCGCAGCTGGACATGGGCATAGTCCGTCAGCTCGGACTGGCTGGCGGCCATGGCATACCAGAGATTGTTGACAATGCTAATGATGCCCTCAATGATGTCGAACTGATGGAATTGGACGTCGCGTATGGCGCCCATTAGCCAAGACAGGATGCCAACGTGGTCCAGCATGATCTTCACAGCGCCAGGTATTTTCACGCACGTGGACAACACGGAGAGGAGCAGAAGATTGGTGTCCAGAGTAGCCAGGTTGGAGCCATAGAAGCTGAGCAGCACCTTAAACGTGTTCGTGGACACCAGCAGGAAGAGATCAGCGCTGCATTTGATGCCATGGCTCAGCAGCTGCACAATGAACTCTCTGAACTGCTGATGCTCCGGCTCCTGGGAGTAGAAGAAGATGTTGAACTCGGGTATAGTCTGGAAGTTGAAGCTCTGCTTCAGCTGCAAGTACATCATGAGTCGCTTGTACAGCAAGTGCGTCGGATCCGTGCTTATGTTGAAGCTGTGCGCGATGAAGAGCACGGGAATCAGCGGCACACGAGGTGTTCCACCGTGGACGCGACGCTGTGCCAGCCAGTAGTTGCGCAGCTCACCCAGGCCGGATTGTATATTGTCGTAGGCCTGTGTCCACAGGGGCTTCTCAAAGAACTTGGATAGCTCGAAGTGGGCTCGATATCTTTGCTGACAGCAGGCGGCTGCCAGCCGCATGTCCTTGTCCAAGGACGACAAGGCACAAAAGCTGACGGCGAGCAATCCATTCTGGACGGGCCACTGGGCCCGCACCGCTGACTCCGGCGCAAAACAGTGAATCATCAGGGGCAGTATAAAGGCTGGATCATAGCACTGCTCATAGATCTCCTCGCGCTTGGGACACAATCGACGCACATGCTGCTCGAATTGCGTGCAACCCTGTTCGATGCGCTGCTCGAGCAGATTATCCCCAAATCTCTGGGATTTGTTTGCAGGATTGACAAACTCCAGCTCAGGCAACTGCTTGCTGGCGTGCAGCACCCGCCAGATGGGAAAGTTCTCAATGGTGTATTGGCAGGAGGAGCGCACAATCAGGGACAGCACCTGCGACACATTCGTCTCCTGCTGCTGTAGCTTGGCCCGCTCGTCCTCGTCAGCAGCCCGCAACGCGTAGTGAGCCACGGCACTCTCGCCCCAGATAAACGGACGATACTGCGCCAAGTCCACATCGAAGCGCTCATAGTGCTCCAACAGTGCCAAGGCGTAGCGATCGGCGGGAGTCAAGCGAGCATGGTAGGCGCCCAGGATGACGGGTATGTGGGCGCTGTGTAGGGCTGAAGGCGCCTTCCTCGCCAACGTCTCCAGCAGCTGCAGCAAGTGCGTCTTCACCTCGCTCAGCTCACCCAGCAAATGGTCATAGCAGCAGGAATGCGTGCAGGCCATCTCATACAGCAGTCCAGCATCTGCACTCTCTCCCGCCTCGTCTTCGTAGTCCGGGTAGAGATGGTCGCACAGATAGGCCAGCAACTTGAGCAGCAGTCCATTGGTGTGGTCCTGCTCGGGTGTGCGATGCTGCTCCTCTGGCATGTGCATGGCCTGCTTTAAACAGCTGCGACAGAAGTTCAGCCAATGCGAAGCCGTCAACAAGCGGCTCCAGTCCAGCTGCTGCTCCTCCAGTTGGGGCAATCGCTGCCACCAGTCGTAGCAATTGAATGCTAGCTGCTCCAGCTTGTCCAGCTGCACGCTCTGCTTCTTCAGGTCAAGCGCCAGCATTTGCACATTCAAGTTGACATAACTGACAAAGACATTGGACTGCTGCACTGCATCCTTGCCACTGGCGAATGCCTGATTGTAAATCTCGTTGAGGACTCGCATTTGGAAGAGCTCAACCGCATCGAATTTCAGCTGTTTCTGACTGTAATCCAGGCACTCCGACTTGGGCATGCAGTTCGCTATGAGCGCAGCACTCGCCGCTGCGTGCTCCCTGTAAATCAGTGCCGCCTTTTGCGGCTTCTCGATGCTCTTGAGTATGCCATTCTTGTAGCTCTGATAGCAGCGCTGCAGCACGGACTGCTCCAGCTGATAGCCACGCTTAAAGGCAACCTCCAGCAGTGGGTAAATCAATTCCTTTTGCTCCACATGTTCCGGCAGCAGCTGGGCAAACGTCGTAGCCAGCAGCGCGTTGCGATCCAGGAGCAGGCAAGCCAGTCGGATGGCTGACTTGCTTAGCTTACGATTTGAGGTGGAGAAGAAGCTGTTGAAGAACTGCCCATTGCAGCCAGCCAGGTGATGATGCTGACTGCTCAGGAACTCCAGCAGCGCTGACTCCAGCTGCTCTAGTTGTTCGGCGAGCTGAACTCGCTCACAGAATTCGCCATAATAGCTCTGCAGCTGCAGCATGGACTGGCTGCAGTCGATGGGCTGCTCCAGCTGAGCCAGCCGTCTCAGCAGGCGCACCATGAGCTCGTAGTAATGATTCGTCTTGCCAGTTGGCAACAGGTAGTCCTCCGCCTGCAGCTTGCTGGTGAGCAGCTGCAACATTTCGGCACATTCGCTGGCATTCAGCTCAAAGGCATCCACAAGGGCAACGCACTCGAAGAGCTGAGCAGGCTGCGCAGCGGACTTCACGGCTTTCGGATCATTCAGCGCTATTTCCAAGCCAACCACCAGCTGCTGCCTGTAGTAGCCAGTGTAGCTGACAAACCTGTCCAGGCTGCGGCAGTGCTCGGTCAGCCGACGCAGGCAGCTCACATAATTGAGTTGCGTCTCGCTCGTCTCGCTGAGCAAGTGCGTTGCCCGGAGTTGACTCAGTCGAATGCTGTAGATGTAGTGCAGCAAGCGATGTGTGTGCGACTCATCCTGCTGCTCCTCCACCAGTTCGTCGGGCACCTTCACTGGCTGCCCGCCATCCAGCTGCTGGGCTATTTGCAGCAGGCGAATCAAGCATTCAGCTATCAGTTGCGCCTGTCTCGCCTTCAGCTGCTTGCTCTCGACCAGCTGGCAGAGCAAGAAGAGCAAGTCATGGGCGTAGATCATGTTGCGATGTGGATTACGCAGACTTATCTGCAGCTGCAGTTTGCTGCCGTCCTCTAACTGTAGCTCGAAGTGTTCGCTGTCCGCAGCGTCAGGCTTGAATATCTGGTCAAACGATTCACTCGAGGATTTCAGCACCGCCCGCTGCAATTGGGCCAATTGGGGCCAATGCTTAGCAATGCCAGCGGGCAGCTTAGACAGCTGTCCGACCTGCATGTATGACTCGTGCTCCGACAGCTGTGTGCTGTACAGCTGCTGCACCTGCTCCGGCTTCGTGTGGTAGTGATAGAGCAGCACAGAGACCAACTCCACATAGGCATCGTACGGCGGCTCTATGTCGACGCCCTGCAACAGCAGCGGCATCATTTTGCTCAGTGTCAATGTCTCCACGTACGCCTGGACTGTTTGGCCCTGTTCGATTTGCTTGAACAGCTTGCGAAGATTCTCCACATTGCTGGCCACCTCGGCTGCATTCTGCGTGGGCAGCTGCTCCACCTTTGTTAGGTCCAGTGAGAGGATGGTCAGCAAAATGCTGGTCACATTGTCCACAGTTTGGCCGTCGAAGCCAATTAATGCCTCCAGCCAAATATCAATCTCGTAGCTCGACGAGTCGAACATGCCCGTGTTCTGGAGCAAACTGTGCAACAGCTCGCCAGCCTCTGTCTTAATAGTCAAATCGGATTCCAGCATATAGGCCTTGATGAACGACCGGAACACCTTCTCGAACAGCGGCTCCTGCGGATGCAGCGAGCGTGGGAAGAGCAACAAAATCGTTTTGATCGACTTCAGCTCCAGCTTAATCTTTTCCACCTTGCTCAAGAGTTCAGTTTGATCCGCACTCTGGTCCACCGCCTCGTCGAAGTTCGTCTCGTACAACGGACGCAAGACATCCAAATAATCAAGAATTTGACTCGTTTTGTTAACGAATGCTCGATTCTCTTTGCACATGATCAGGATCAGCTCTAGAGTGATCGACAGATGATCCAGCACATTTACATCTTCTGACGATCGGTCCTGAATACTTAGGTACAGCGAGTACAGTATGCCCTCGATAGGTGGGAAGTTGATTAGCAAATGATTTAGCAGCTCGAACTTAAATTTACGCAACGAGTTGCCCGCTCGCTTCGACTGCTCCCTCAGGGTAACAGCGTTCACGTAGTTGCTATACTGCGTCATCATGGCCAGCAGTAAGCGATTGACTGCCAATCTGACAGGGAAATCCTTGCTGTTCAGCATACTCTTGCTCACGATGTGCAGCAGAGCCTCGGTGGGCAAGCACACCTCCTTGATCCAATAGGTAAAGTCAGTTAGGGTCATCTTATCCAGAGCAACAGATAGAGAGCTCGGTGGCAAGGCTTCAATGATCTGGGCCAGCATATCGATTGCATTTCGTAAATCTGTCGGTGGCAGATACATAGGATTTACAATCGAGGAGAAATTCCGTACCGTATGCCTGCCCAGATCCGGACAGGCTTGCAGCGTCTTGAGAATCAGCTCCTTCTTGAGCGGATCATTATACGGACGATAAAGTGAGCCCAACACTTTGCCCTGCAGCTTGTTGTGTTTCTGGCGATAGTTGGACATCGCATCGAAGCAGATGCCATGCTTGCGCGAGGTGAAGAGCAACAGGAGCAGTTTATGTGCAGCTGCGGCTACAGCCTCGAGTCCCTCCGGCGCACTGCTCTCTGCTGCTGCTGTTTTGTCCTTCTTCTGTCCACTGTACCAGCTAACTAGGCCTTGAGGGCCTTGCCAGTCGTAGAGGCGTCGCAGATATTTGCAGCACTCCAAATCGAAGACATGCACCTTCTTTGTCTTCAATATGCTGGGATTCTCGAGTACATATTGACGCAGAGCGTTGAGCACAACGCAAACGGTCACCTGATCATCGTAGAAGAGACCCTTGCAAAGCTCTCGAATCAGATGAGCTCGATCAAGAATGTTGCGAATGAGCAGCACATTGCCATCCACCAGAAAGGAGAGCACGAAGTGTATATATGCTTTACGCACAGTGTCCTCGTTTTTGTAATCATACCTGGAGTGAGACAGCATCTCGCCCATCGTCCTCACATTGGAGAGTATGTCGTAGGAGTTGAGCACCTGCCTGCCCAGCTGTGCATCTACGCAAACAATTGCAGTCAGCAGTTTGAGTGCATTACGACGATGACTCATCTGAGCCGATTGCAACAGATACTCCAGCAGCGGGCCATGGGCCTTAAGAAAATATCTTCCGGCGTGTGCAGCCGATTCCATGTGCTCCTTTTGATTCGTGAGTATTTCCATGATGACACGCTGCAGCGCCTCGCAGAGGTAGCCCAAATGGAGCACATTTTTCTTGTCGATGCGATTGAATGCTTCGGCTAGTTCCAACGGTTTTCCACGCTTTTCAATATACTTGGCCACGATCTTTGGACGGATTTGGCACATGTACAGAAAATGCCGCAACTCTATAAAAATGTTTAGTCGATTAAAAGTCCCATAGTCTTAATCACAACGTACCTGTTATAAAATTATTTCCAAGCAATTTGCTCCGAAAATTCAGCATTTTGAAGTCATTAGGAAATCGCATAGGTTGCTCTTCGGGCTCTATCCCCGAATCGGGACTGATCTCATCTTCATCCATTCTTTCATACTCTTCTTCTTCGCCTTGGCCTCCTTCAAGTTCAGACGGCTCTTCCTTGCTGTCATTGCTTAGATTTGTTTTTGTCTCCGGTTCCTCGCCTTGTTGATTTACCTGTTGCGCCTCTTTACACTTCTTCTTTTTTGTTTTTTCAATATCTTCTCCCTGCTGTTCTTCATTCTGCGGTGACTGCCTCTGCTCATCGCATTCCTTGTCTTTCGCCTTTTTTGATTTTCGCTTTGGCGTGTCGGATTCCTTCTGCACCTTTTTGGGTACCGCTATTTCGGCATCATCGGCTTGGTCTGCGGATGCAGCTTCATGCTTTCTTTTCCGCTTATTCGTTTGTATGGCCATCTTTATACACCTTTCGCATCGATTCTCATAAACAATCTATGAAAATTGACAATAAACTCTCTACAAAAATCAAACACACGAGCGGCATGCACGTGTGGTGCCAGATGAATGCGCCCAGCTTATTCGTTACTCTGCATAAGTATTTTAAAGTATCTGAGCAACAGTTGTATTCTCAGTGCTGTACAACGTTTGCTGGTGAGCCGATAATTACATTTTGAATTTATTTATGTTTATTGCTTACCAGTTACTTTCCATAAGTACTTAATGTTATTGTTGTTGTTGATTTTTTGTCATATGTGCTTGAAAGCAACAGGTGCGCCCAATGTGTGTGTGTTGGCGCTCATACTCAAAATATTTTCGATGAGTTCAATTTATCATTATTATTTATTGCAGCATATCTCACACAGATATTAATTACTATAATTTGTAATGTGAAATTTAATATAAACATAAATTAATTACACATTAAACACATATTTCTGAATTCACATGTTTTATGCGTTTCTTTTAGGACTAATCCTCTTCAAGTGCTCTATTTGTAACTCCCCCTGCACCCAATGAAGAAATGCCGGAATTATTGTTTGCAACTATTGGAAAATCCGGTAATGTCGTGGTTCGCTGCTTTGCTGGCGCTGGGGGCACCGTTGGCAAATCAACTGATTTACGATTACCTAAAGAAAAATGAGGATAAATAAAGAAATCGAATTCATCCTTAGAAATATGAAAATTTATAGACAAACTCACTACAACAACCACCCATTTTGCTAGAGGGATTACCAAAGATCACCTGTAACCGCAGTGGTTGAACGTTTTTAAAGCACTAAATTAGAGAAATCAACCGGTGACCAATTGGCATTGGTATCTATGAACGTATGAATGTATATACATATATAATTAACGTGCAAGCCATCTACGGTTTTCTGATAAGAAGCTTTTTGTTTTTGTTAAAAATACTAAGTGGGTTATACACGGCAACGTTATCTGCTGAGTCGCTCGCATTTGCCACCTAGAAACATTTTTTGGCTCTACGATTTCAGGGCGCTAGCCAAGTCGACCTCAACCAACATATGTCGCTGAATTTACAAATTTTAGATAAGCTCTTATCAATCAGCAATGTTGGCGGTTTATAATTTTATAGTCCTCGTCCGTAAATTTATCGAAAGTCGATCAAATAAATCGTGTAATTGCCAAATATATTTACGAGGGTACGATAATTAAGAAACTATATTCAATAAATAATATCAAAAGCTAGTTTATTTTTATTTATTTTATATTAATAGTTAGTTTATTCAATACAAACATAATTGCGTATATGAGATATATATTTTTGCTTATTTTTTTTTTTACAATTTGAAATGGAACAAGTCCGCTAAGTTTTTTTTCGATTTTACAACACTACCATGGCAACAGCTGTTTTGCTTGTGCGCATGTTCTTTGCTTTCGCTCTCGCTCACTCGTCTCTCTATCGCATCGAAACGTAAACAGCGTCCGCTGCCATTTCACGCTTTTCTGATAAAAATGTTTTAAATCAAAAAGTGTTAATTAAAACCGAAATCAAAGTCAATGTGGCTGTTGTCGCAGACGGTTCGTGTTCGTGCGCGTGAACCTCAATAATAAACAAATCGCTTGCAGCATCTGTTCAAAAATAAAATAGCACTCGCATCTTCTGAGTTTTGCTTGCGACGGCAGTTGGCGCTCGTGAGCGTGCTTTTGCACTCATACATACGTGCATATATAGATATATTTTTGTGTTTATGTTCTATCTGACATTCTGTGGCATCTCAGTTGTGAATGTCAACCACAAAGTGAACGAGCCAACAAATCACGGCCCAAAGCAAATAAACAAGAATCATTAAAAAAAAGAAAAGAAAAACAGACTCTTGCTCCCGCTCGCGATTTCTCTGCATTTTAACAAAATAATTGCAGCAAATAATACAATTAACATATTAATAATTATATTTATACATATATACACCAGTATACACATATAAATATATAATAACACTTGCTAGCTGGCTGGCTGGCGGGCGAGCGCCATGGATGATGAGTTTAAGCTTTGCTGGAAGAACTTCCAGGACAATATTGCCAGCGGCTTCCAGAATCTGTACGACCGCGGCGATCTAGTGGACGTCACGTTGGCCTGCGATGGAAAGCTGCTGCAGGCGCACAAAATTGTCCTGGCCATATGCAGTCCATACTTCCAAGAGATATTCACGACCAATCCCTGCCAACATCCAATCAGTAAGTAAACTAAGCCAATCCCCTCTCTCAGACTCTTCCACTCCGTTTCTCAGCTAATCATGCATTGCTCACGTTCTCTTCGCAAGTTGCTGTTGTTTCTGTTTTTGCGATGCTCCGCTCCGATTTGTCTAGCTGTTGTTTGCCGAAAATGTTCACGCGGCGGCTCTTAAGCTGTGGAATGTACAGTAGATGCTCCGCTGAACCGGAATCCGACTCAGTTACTCGCGTGACTCCAATCAGATAGGTTTCGTTAAAGATAAGCTCTTTTTTTGGACCAGACTCTTAGGCATCTAAATAAGGATTTGCTCTAGAATTGCAGGCTCTAAAGATTTCCTGTTGTATTATCTCATAGCCAAAAGGCCTTTAAAGCTGTTTAGCAAGTATATCCTATTTCCACAATAATAAATTATAATAACAATTCCAATTAACATACCTCTAACAAAATCCTATTAGCATCTTATATGTAATTCATGCGTAGAATCATTCAAAAGACCAAAACCATCAGAAGCATGTTTCAATACCACGACTAGGATTGGTTTAAGTCTGGACATTGTTCGCTCTAACTTGCATTTACTGTACTTGTATTACGTGTTATCGACAGTGTGGAAATTTTATCGCCGTCCACCTGTCAGTTTATCTAAGCGCGCCCGTCAATTGTCAAATGCCAGCCCAAGCAGTGCTCGTCGATATAAATCAACTTTATAATAAATTCGATGTCACATTTGGGAGTTAACAACGAACCAAACTGTGCTATATATATATATGTATGTATATATATCTGTTACTCATATATGTATTTGTACGTGTATATGTTCCTATGCTTGCTTCACTATTTGGCTTCAGTGATAAATCAAAAATCAAATAGCCACTGATGATAATCTTTCATGGTTAGCTGTCGCCACGTTGTCTCTCTCTGCACCTAGCTCATAGTTTCCACTGCTCCACATCCAAGTCCATATTCATACAGTTCCAAAATTATATGTCCATTCCTACACATTCCCATTTCATATACGAAACCACATCTACATCAGTATCCACATTCTATATCAGCATCTTTTTTGTTTCCACTCCTAATTTGCATTCCACATCAGATCTTCAGTCCCATCCACTTTCAGTCTTACCATCCACACCCCCATTGACAGCAGTCCCAGATCCTAGATCCCTCAACACCCATATTCCCAGCCCTTCTCATACCCATTCCACATCCCACATTTCACATTCACTCACCTCACTGAGTGCATACCGCATTCATGTTCCACATCCACATTGGCAGCTGTCGCCATATTGTCTCTAGATTCTCGTTGTCTCTTCGTGCTACCCACTCCTTCACATCCACACTGATATTCACCCCAGCCCTTGTAATGCATATGCACATGCACCACACGCTGCTCGTGCTCCGCTCTTGATAAGGCAGCCCGTTCGTCCACTTGAAGTTGGGTACGTTGCTGACCTCATCAAATGTAGATCCAATGCTTAACTCACTTCAACCTAGATATTGATGCATGGACTGTGGAATTGTTCATATGGATATCATATCGCTAGCCCGTCCAACCAATGGCTGGGTTTGGGCTTTGGAGGTTCGGGGTTGGGGTTGGGGTTGGGCTTGGGGTCTGCCTGACTCGTTCGCTTGTTCTACACGCCTGCTGCACGGTGGCTTTATCAGATCAAGCGGCAATAAACAACAATATTTTATCTTTCAAGTAGCTGTAGAAATATGCTACCTAACTATAATAATAACAACAACAGCACACCTACAACAGCTAGTTGGAAATTACGCACTCTGAGATACCCTAGAAATTTTATTTTGTATAAGGTCAATGGCACGTATTCAAAATTTGAATCGATAATTTTGTCGAATTGATGTATTCAACTCTTGCAAGCACTTTCCTATTAATGTAATTCCTAGATGTTAATATAATCGAAGATATCGATTATCGATTACAATTTTAAAAATAAATAATACATGTGAATAGTATACTAAATCTAACCTAAAGAAGCGAAACTTTAGTAATATAAGAAAATAAATCAATAATTACAATCGATATTTATCGATATATTTAGAAAGAAATAGAGAGTAGTTGTCTTTCTAAGCGTACCCATTAGAATAGGAAGCTAGAGAATGGAACACCACCAGAAGTATTATTATTATTTTCAAAGATAAAGAATATTAATATAGGCTATAAATAATGCTATGGGCTACAAATTATTATAAATAAACCAAGTCATAATACAACAACAACAGCAACAACAATGAGCAAAAGGTGCTAACAAGCCAAATGATTTGCTTGCTGTTGCTGTTGTCGGTTGTTGGTTGTTGTTGTTGTTGTTGGTTGTCGTTGTTGGCTGTTGCTCCTGCGTGTTACACTTAAATAACAACAACAACAACTTGTACAACAACAACAAGTCAAACATTTTATCTTTTTATCGCGCCCAACAATCATTTATTGCCCAACGAGCAACTGGTTGCCCGCTCCCTGGCTGCCCCCAACCTCCTCCCTCCCTCCCTTTGCTCGACTGCCACTTCTAACGGCACTTCTGTCCGTCTATGCTAGAGATGCACGCGTGTCATGTTGTCCAGCGTGACACGAGAGCGCTTGCATTGCATATGTGGAGCAACTAACGAGTTTTGCCTCTGTTTAGACTGGATGATAGACGACTAGGGAAATTAATATGTTATCTAACGAATAGTCATAGTAAAGTAGATATCCTGGAAATAAACTCTAACCAAGCGAGATGTTCGACTATATAGCTTGCACAAAGCCAATATACTCCCTTTCCCTGCAACTGAACGAGCATTAGAAATATAAAGAGGAGAAGTGTGGACACGCTTCCGTCTCTAGTTGAGGCACTTGAAGACTTTTTCGAGATATTGATTAGGGTTGCTCTGACGCTC